AGAAATCAGCTTGAGTTAGATGTAGAAAAACTGAGCCTAGAATTTGGCTATAAAGACTAACAACATTCAAAATAAGTAAAGCACCTTTAACTAATGGAAGTCATAAAATAAACTTGATTTCATAGTGGTCATTACTGATACTTGCTATAATAGATTTTCATCAAAAAGAATACAGCATGGTACTGTAAGAATAACTAACTACAAGTCTGAAGTCTTATTCTAACCTACTAGTGATTTGTGTGTACAAAGAGATTAAAGTATAACTAAGTGGAATGTGCTATAACGTGCTGTCATTCCACAAAGTGGCCTGTAACTACTGCTGGTTTTTTAAGTAAACAACTTTGAAAATATATACTGGAAATAGCCTAGCATGTTTACCTTTCATAATATCCAGTCAGATTTAACAGTAAAGTTTTTACTAAATTAGATTACCTTAATGTCACGTAAAGCTTCTATAAATGCATTGTCAGTAACCTGGGTAAGTATTATGTGAATACTATCAGAACTAGGCATGCCAGAATGGTATTTATATACTGATGCTGTAGATGACACATGATCTTTTGCTGCCAAATTTTGAGCTTGTAGACATACTTTCTCTAGTTCCATTTTTCTCCCCAAAGCGGTGATATCTATCCTTTAATATTTTTGTTGTTTGAAGTTTTCAAGGAGTTGTAATCTTTTGTATTAAATGATCTATGCGCATTGCTCATGGTCTTTGAGCAAGAAAGTAAAAGATCAAAGAAATTGTGCATATAGGCTTAAAAAATAAGGATGTTGAGCAAATCAAACTGAAGAAATTTGTATGTGTATTCAATTTAAGTAGTCACTATGGAATACTTAAAGTGCATGTGAGTTTTCACTTCCATTTTCCACTGACTTCAGAAGTGCATGGTTATTATTGGAAGCAAGACCTAACTCACTAAACCAGTAACAAAAGTAGTTCTTTTCCTTTAACAGCCTACTTTTTAAAGGTAAAACAAGCGAATGAGGTCTGAGATCTTGAACTGTGGAAAAAGGTAAAACATTGTTCCTGATATTCACCAACAGCTCATGACTACCTCAATGCAGTTGCTTTTCAAGCAAGATAGCGTACCTTGGCATGAAAAGAAGGGTACTAAATTGGTATTTTGACCTCAGGCTCTTCTCAGTTCTGTGAATGGTCTCTGAAATTACTTGTTTGAAGGTTACTTGTCTGGAATTGCTTTGTGTTTCTGCAGTAGCCCCAGTGCCCCACTTCTTCCTTTTTTTCTTTTTTGAATCGCAGTGTAATATACCTTGTGTCATAAGCTTTCACTGGTCTGCATCTTTTATGTTTAATAGGGAGGAAATGTAGACATCTATCTTTCTAATTTGGGCACATTGTTATTTATTTTTAGTTGCTTTATATACTTAGCTCGAGAAATGGGAAGGCTGAGAATCAGGCTTCTTGCCTAGGTCTAACTGTTAAGCTAAATTGAACTTAAGTAGGTGGACTGAAAAAAATACTGCTCTTCAGTGGAAGAGAGAGCTTATGATGTATGTAGCATGAGGAATTTTTGGAAACTGAACTTTTCAAAAAGAATATTTTACTTTCCAGTTAATTATGAGGGACATGAATTTATATTGAACTTTAAGCTTGTTCAGCTTCAGCAAAAATAGGTTCTCTACAGTACCCCAATCTTCAAAGCATTGGTCTTAACTTAATATTGTTATGCCTCTTGAGAAAGAGATTCTGAACTCTATGTAGCCAACAGATTAGGCAAAACCCCCAAGCTGTTGTAGGTGAGCTGTTGGTGTGTGCTTGATTAACCTTTGGTAAGACATAGCACCTAAGAGCAATCACTGCAGAAAGAATTTGTAAAACTTGAAGTAAACTTGCTAAATAGGGTGTAATTGTTCGCCAGCCTTACCCGTGCCTCCCTGCTTAGTTTTCTCCCGTCTCCTTATGCAATATGAATGTTCTCAGCTTACTCGGTTCTTACAGCGGTAGTCATAGATCATCTGTTTCTCACCTAATGCTTTTCCTGTTCTACTGCAGTAAGAGAACAAAGTACTACTGCCTGTGTTCAGCTGAAAACCTTTCTGGAGGGAGAGCTTGGGGACAGCATTGTAGTTTGATTTGGGATTTTGCAATCCCCAACTTAATCTCTTTCTAGGTTTTACCATCCTGAAAATCTAGTGTTAAATCAGCCTTGTGGAGTTACATGCCCTTTTTAATATATGTTATTCTTTTCAATTATACAAATAAAATAGAATTATTCTCCTACTGTAACTTCTAATAATTGCTCAAACATGTAATATTCTGTAGGGTTGGAGCTGATGCACTTTTGAAGAATTTTTTATTTCTTGTTCTGTTTGAGCTCATTGCCCAGGATCACTTCACGATGATAATGGCTGTTAAGCACACATTATTAACAATGTTACTGCCATGTAGTTAACTTCAGTTCCTTATACAGTAGTAGGAATAACAATGGAAGTCTGTAAATATAGGTTTCATACGTACTAATGTGTTGATGAAACCTGCACTTTATCTTCTAGCTATTTCAAGATGGCATTGCTGACATCTACTTTTATATTGTGTTTCCCGAGTAGATAACATTGGGAAATGCTCAAAGTGAATTCATATGTGGCCCAACTATTACAAAGACTTCATATTCACAGTTGTTTTCTAGCATGGAGTTGCCTCAGTGTAGTGCAGGAATGTATAATTAGGGAAGCATAATGAAATGTGCTGTTGACAGAAAAGTATGTTTGGCATCTCAAATGCTGACCTTCTCTGACATCATTAGACTTCTGAAGTTCTGATACAAAGACAGTGAAGTGGCTTATCGAGGTTTATTAGTTAACACTCTGACATACTATGTTTTTATATTTTGCTTTTTTTAATGCTTTTGCACAGCAATGGCAAATGTTTTTTCAACTTCCTTATATGTTTGTGGCCACTGTAATTTATTTGTCATGCTCGTTAAGGTTCCTGCAGTAGAAGAAAATAATGCTTGTTCATACTAATTTGGAAGATCAAAGCATGGCATAGAAACAATTGATCAACTAGCAAACCAAAGCTGCCTCTCAAACACACCTACATTCTGTGGAATTGTTTGCAAAATACGTTAGTTAAAAATCTTCTAGTTCCTGAAAAAAAGTAAATTATTGGAAACAAAAAGAAGTAAATGTATACAAGTAGTTTGTTCTCTCAAATGTTAAATCCACTTTTCCTTTAAATGGCTTCCATTTCTCTGTGAAGCTTTTCCATAGGTGGTTTTATTATTATTCACAAAGCCCTGATATGTAGGTTTTTCTATGTTTTCCTGTAAATACTTGTTTGTAAACAAAATAAGGTAGGACTTTGAAATATAAAAAAACCAAGTGCTTTTGTCTCACGTATTCCATCTTTCCTTTATAATGCTCATGTTTTACAAAGTGCATATTAAATATTTTCATCTCGTACTCTCCCTCCTAAGTCAATAAATAACTTTCCCTGCAGAAATGTAGAATGTTTAATGTTCTGTGTCACACCTCCCCCCCCAAAAAAACCTACTTAAAATCTACTTCAATACTGTTTTCAGTATTTATAATAAAATATGGTAGTCCTTTGTGAACACTATAGGAAGACTGCTGAAGAACAGTTGGAGCAACAGTTTGGACAAATGCCTATTAATCTTCTTCCCTTTCATCTATACGTCTCTGACAAAGTGAATCTAATAAATGGTAGCCAGCAAAGGGATACCTTTCCAAGTGAATATTGTTTTGCAGTGTATTGGTAGTCTGTATGCAAGTACTCAGTTAAGTATTTAATGATCACTTTTTTGTCCAGTGAGAAATAATTAGTAAAACACTTATTTTACTTAATATTTGGTAAATTTTTTTCAATATTGGTCCCATGAATCATCTTTAGGTGTAGCTGTTAAACCTAGGAAAATCTGCATTTCTACTCTTAGAAAAGAGGCAGATACGAAGTGCCTGAGTCTCATCTTGGGCCTTAAAGCTATGGCTTTTATTTGTGGGATATGGGAAAATAGAGCTCAGGAGTCAGAGCTTTATAACTATTAACAGTTTCCTTAGACCTACTTTGTTATAATCACTTGGTATTAATAAGTTTAGCTTTCTTTGAATAATGAAGTAAAACGGAGTCTGGGTTCTCTGATGAAGTACTGCACTTTGTTGCTTGATGTGGCTTTTCAGTAGCACGGTGCTAGCAGCATCTGACTGCTCAATAAGCTGAATATTCTACAGCCTTGACCTCTTGAGTTTTTCCCACTGTTGGTATCCTTAAAGAAAGAGGGGTCAGTTTCTGTCTCTTTAACAGTCTCTCTCTGACTTGACTTGCCCCCACTACAGTCCTTTTTCTTTAATATACCTGATTGACTAGGTGTAGTATGTATAATTTCATTTAGTACTAACACTTTATTGCATTTTTCTTGTACTATTAGCACAGCCATGCAAGAGGACAGTTTGTTAGTCCCTTTAAAAACAGCTTTGTATTAACCAACAGTCTTAAAGACAAAAGGCAGCAGAGCTTAGTGCTGATAATAGCATATTTTAAGTTTTGTTGGCCAAAAAAGTCAACATAGGTTCTCCCCTTCTTCCTTTCAATGACATTACGATAGTATGATGTGAGAGCTGAAATAAGGTCATTTATCATCTTCTCTTCACAAAGCTGCTTTTGAATTCTAAGTGAGCAAAGTAATTTAGTTTTAAAATGCTTCCAACTGGGGAGATGGCAGGATATTAATGAATAGAAAAATCTTTGGAGTGTTCCATAGACATCAGGCAGAAAAATGTTTTAATCCATCTTTGTTTCATCTGGCACTGTTATTGTATCATATTACTAGAGGTGTGATGACTTCTGTTTGTGTAGATGGTCTCAAGTAAGGTTGATCTTGGTCTCTAAAGAGAGGAGGCTGCTGAGAACATGGATATGTGTACAATACAAATGTAACAAAGCTTTGAAATAAACTTTTTATGACAGGGAAAATGAAATATCATGAGAGCAGCTGTATCTCACATTTTCTTTCTTGCAGGATATCTTGAATAATCTTGATTCATGTGATCTTGAAGATGATGATCTCATGCTTGATGTGGACCTGCCTGAGGACCCACCTCATGACAAAGGTTAGTAAATTAGCCAAGCAATCTTATTGCGAAACTGCATTACGGGCTTAAGAGATTTTTTTTTTTTAGCTGCGTTGTTCTGACTTCTGCTTTAATAAGCCAATGTACTCTTCAAATTTTTTTTTAAGTAACAACTCATTCTTTTCTGAAATATAGGAAGTGTGATATTTCTGTTCCCCCAAATACGACTCTTGCATTTGAAGAATTCTAAAGTTAGAAATTTACTGCCTTTTATAAAAATACAACCTTGTTGCACGCTGTTTCTTTCTTTAAATTATTTTAGTAGAATAAATTTCAAACTTTTAAGTTAGTTCTTCAGTCTCATGCTTCAGCTATGTTGGAAAAATGTTGGAACAGCATTTTTTCAGCTTTGGTGAATGACAATGGTAATTCTTTTTGAGATAATTATTTGTTTTCTTCTACAAAATGACAATATCTCCTAATATATTTTATACAATTCAGGGTAACAGAAGCCTTAAGATTTAAGATGTGTTTTTTCAAGATATCTTGTGCATTCTTGTTGTCAGTGAGGATGCTGGTGAACTTTTCACAGGGAGGATAGTGGTACCTAGATGCCACTAAAATAATACAAATCCAGACTAGAATGAACTAGGGAAGGCAAATTATTGCCATGCTTTCTCAAATCCTGGCCTGGAAAAGTTTTGAGGCGTTTGCTTTTGGTCATTCCTGACCTACTTATAAGAATTGTCACTGTCATGTGAATATGGGTATTAACTTTACCTCTAAGTTCAGTGGAGGCTAATATATCTTCAAATGAACAGAAACATTGAACGTGGAGCGTTGTAATGCCCTACACCCTATAAACAGGCACTGACAGAGAAGAGGCTTTCCTTACTTTCTGTACTGTTCAGCTGCCTGCTGAAGTTTGGGGAAATTCAGGTTTTTTGAGAGTACCTGTGAGTTCTTCAGGTGAAGACTCCTGCGTGTGTGTTAGATATGAAGCCATATTAACAGTAAATAAATGCACAGTCTTCCATCTACCACAGTGATGGCACACATATTTTAACATATGAAGTGCAGTACTTAAACGACTAAATCTCAGAATAAGTTTTCCAAAGTACTTGTGTGAAAGGCACTTATTGACAATAGTGCCAGCATTCAACTCTTCAGCCCGTATAGGTGTACAATTTTTCTTTTTTACTATTTAAATTTTCCAGAATGGATAACAACCAAAGTCTAGGGGATATTCTTTCAATAAGGGTAATTCTGATTCTGTTGGGAAAAACTAAGAAACGATTTTAAAGGGTAGATCAATTTCTCATAAGTTTCTATGTTTATAAAACATGCCCTGCATCTGCATCATTAATTCCATTTCAAATTACTAATTTAAAACCAGTTAAAAATATATGCATTGTAAAGGTGAATGTTTGCCATTTAATCTAGACACAAATGAAATATGATTTTTAATTCACTGCTTTCTTGATTGCATCAATATAATAAACTTAAATCTACTCCCACTTCTGCAGCCAAGTATTGATAATGTTTGTGTAACTGGAATATGTTTTGTAACTATGACAATCTGCTGTGTAAGCTGCTGATTTCGGAGGAGAAACACTGTTTGAAATCAATATTAGCTAGTTACTATTGTTTTTAGCATTTTTTAGAAGTTGGGTTTCCATATAAAGTTGATGTGGCATAAACTGGGTATCTCTGCTATAATCGCTTCTTATCTTGAAATCACTGAATTTTTAGCAAAGAGGTTCTGAAAAGAAGGATTCAAAAGCGACCTCCAGGCTTTCCCTTAAGTAAATATGACCACCTGAAAAAGTGAAGTTTGCTCTTTAATATCTATGTGTCTTTACTCAGTGTCTCAATTTCATTTTCCAAAGCTGAAAATCATCATAATAAAATTACTTATAAACTTATTGAGGGCTTATTTTGAATAGACCCACTTGAATTATCATGTGTTATAAGCTGTAGAAGGATGCTTCTAAGGGAAAAGAAATCTTCTGTTACTTCAGGTGAACAAGTTCATTTTCTTACCTAATTTTTAGGTTACTGAACTAGGTGATAAAAACTGAATTGTAGATAAGTGTATTTGTTATAATAATATTTAACAGCACTTTTTTGTCAACACTTTTTTTGTAATTATGTGCAACTTCACTGACGTCAGCCTCTTAAGACTTTCCAGGTCCTCAGAAACTGCCCTCGTTTCACTTTGGAGTCTGGGATGCTGCTTGGGCGCTATTTATAGAAACAGTTCTAGCTCAACAAGTATGCAGTGAGTGAGGATGGCAGTCTTAAATCACAGGGTAAAACTGGGCTCACTTCCCAGCAACACGCAGGCTGGGAACTAAGCAGGAAGGAAGGCCCTGTTTATGAGCGTCGTATGCGCAACTATGTCTGAGTAGGCAGCCGAGTAAAACAGTGCTCTCTTGTGTAGAGTTATTCTCCTAGCAAAGGACTGACAATGTGAGGAAAAACTCCTTGGGTAAGTGAAGGAGAAAGTGCGATGGCAGAATAGCAGTTTATGACTTATTTTGCTGTGTCTGACTGCACGGATAGCAGTTGTTTTGGCTTTGGTTTTAGTGGTTTACAAGCTGTTGCCAAATATAGCTTTTGTTCCCTTAAGAAGTTGGTGGAATCTGCTTTGCTTTGCAAAAGTTACTGTTTTTAGAGATTTTTTTTTTTTGCTTTGTTTGCTTTGTTTGCTTTGTTGCCCTGGTGAATAAAGATTAAATGTCTCTCGAGTTGAAAAACAAACAAGATGAATAGGTTGAGAGATACATGTATTTTAAGTAAGGAAACTGTTCTGTTTTGGAATGAAGTACTGGCCTTTTACTAAAACGTCATCTTTCTGTGTGTGTGTGTGTGTTGTTTGAACTTTTTAAAGGCCTGAAAATACTGTCAGTAAGAAAGACAGGAAAATGTTACTTTTGGAATTTTTTTCTTCCCCATAGCTCTACCTCCTCCAAGTGATTTTCTACTTAAACCGGAAATACTGTTAAGGCTGAACTCTGTAGTTTCTGCTACAGGTTACTCTTATTCTTGTAACAAGTTTATATGCTAGTAAAAATGTGACATCATTACAGAAGTCTGCTTCCCAGTTCTAAAGTGCATACTTTTTTGGATCAGTTTAAAAAAACCAAACAAACCTACAGATTTTACACTGTATCTGGTACCAGCACATAGTAACTATTTTATTTATAAGGTCTTAGGAAAAAAATTTATAATTTTTTTTTTTTTTTTTTTACTTTATGCACTCTGTAGAGGAATGTGAAAATATGAGCCGTTATGATAGACAAGACAGAAATGCTAGGCAACATCAGGAAGGATTCTGGAAAAGAGCACCACAACAGCGATGGAATACACAGGATCACTATCATCTTGGCCATACTGATCACTATATCCATGGCAAAAATGATTTGAACAGGTAAAGGACTTATTTCTTCTCTCCCAAACAATTAAAATACCGTGATGAGAAATCTCTTTTGGCGCTGAAGGGTCTCAAGTGATATTGAGTACGAGACATTTTCAGAATAGTTGTATGTCTATAAATAGCATGTCTGAGTGGGAGCATCACTGAGATTTATAACAATTTCTTTTCAAAACTTTTTTTTTCTGTTATGGTTTTTAATCCAAATACTTACTTGTGTTTACATGATATTATAAATGCTTGACTAAATTACCATATGTGTTCCATGGAAAAACATTACACTGTCTTATTACTTGCATTTTGTAACTTTGGACAGCTTTTTACTTTTTTTTTTAAATTAAATGTAATCCTATAGTTCTTACAGCCTAGCTTGAATGACTTGAAGTTTATAGAAATCCTGGTGAGCAAACTGGTTTTAGGGTGTTGTAGTTAGTCTGTGAGATATTAATGCAAGTGGGAAGGAAAGCCCAGCATTTAAGTGAAATAACGTTGACATTTTCTGATTTATTTGTTTTCCGCTGTATGCCACAGTATGTGAACATAGCCCATGTTGCACAACACTTTCTTTATTACTAAATGCTTTCTAGCTCTAGTTTGTCATCACTGTGGTTTTTTTATTTTTAAATTTTTTTTTTAGGGGATCAAACTACCTAGAATCTCCTATTGGTCACTTTGAAAGCTATGGAGCACCAAATTTTTACCAGGCTCCTAGACAGCTGGTGGGCTTACCGGACAATACTGTGATGCTTGACGAAATGACCCTTCGGCATATGGTCCAAGACTGCACAGCTGTAAAAACTCAGTTACTGAAACTGAAGAGATTACTGCACCAGGTGAGCTGTTTAAATGGAAAAAAAGCACTAAAGCAGATTGGAGAGTGAGCCTAGATGGGCTAATGTTCTGTTTGGCCTTATTAGGCTATTGTCATTTCCTTTTATACATTGAATTACAGTATTCAAGAAAGTGTGCACTTTCTATTGCTATTTAAAATAGTACTTTTTCTGCTTTTTCAGCCCTTTACTGACTGCAAAAAATATTAAAAATTGTTATTCTGCTTCTCTGAGGAAACAATGCTAAATTAAAAAAAATCATTGGATGTGAAGACAAGCTTTTATTTAATAAGATACTAAAAAGCTGGGCTTAAAAAGAAATAATTAAAAAATATTAATATTGATATCATTGATCAAACTTGGATTCAGCAAGTCAATGCTAATAGCTTTTTCTTAAGGCTTTGTCTTCCTCATTCTTTTCATCTTTTCTGTGTGTTTTGACAAGAAGCTTAGCAAATCCTACTGGGTCATCTGTATTGGAAGTGCTCAGATTGAACCTTTCTAGTGTATGAAATCACTGAATTGTCATAAACTTTTAAGGACCTCTTTCATTTCACCTCAAAACTTGGCAAATTGTCGGAGTTGGTAAACTGCTGGAAGACTTGGCAGAAGTATAGCATTTCAGCTACAAAAATTCCTTTGCTACCTTAAAAAAAAAAGTCCATGAGACTTCCTTTGGTGGCATATACAGATGAGCATTGAAAAGTATCTGTATGATGTTCTCTTTAATACTAGATTTACTGCTGTTCTTTTCTAACAGGATAACGTAACGGAAATAAGTTTGTGCCCTAAAAGTAAGACACTAAACCAAAACACAGCAAAACAAAAAGCAAATCAACCTTGAGGCTAATTCAAGGGTGTGACTGTGCCTTTTAGAAATGTGAGCATTTGCTTCCTATAGTAACTGAGAATACTGGAGATGTTCTTCTGCTGACAAAATCAGAAAGACAGTTGTAACAAAACTAATGTAGTGTCAGATAGGGAAGGTATGTGTTCTTAGAACCTAATGTCTGAGTAGTGGACTGCATGAGCTGTGCCTCCCAAGTCTCATGCATGCAATTAGTACATCAGATAGAAGGGAACTTTTTATTCAGAGCTTTTAATGCCTTTAACACAAGGACAATTAAACAACTAGATAGATGATCTGTGTATGCGTAGTTTTGTGTAAAGGCATGTGTGTTATAGCCAAATAGTGTGTGGCTCTGCAGAATATTGTATTTTAAATCTTGATCTAGTTTATAATAGCCAGACTTTTCTGAAAGGTTACAGAACACATACCTTGCCTCAAGTAGCTCAGATTAAGTTTTTTTAAAAAAGCCTTAAACTCACAGAAGAAATAGTTACTCCTAATATGTACGATCTTCAAAATTTGCTGCTTCTCTTACCAGAAGTTTGATCGTTTCCACCTCCCTCCCTCTAATAGCGAGTTTTGTAATGATGAGTATTATTCTTCCCTTCAAACTTTCTCAAGCATACTTTTCTGTTTTCTTGACCTAACTGCCTCCTGTTTTGACTTGCTGCTTCCAAAACTCATCACTGAACTTCTGAATGTTTATTTTACTCTCCTGTGTATTATCCAGCCTTTTAATCAAACAATATGAATAGTAATGTAAAAGTAAATTAATCTGCTACAGAGGGACCTTTACTACTACTTTAGACATTTACTACCTTTATTTACTAAACAATTAGAGTAAAACTTGTATGAAATACCATTTCATTATTTTTGTGTTAAACCTTTCCGGACAATATTGAGCTTTATACTAACAGAAATGAGTAAAAATATTGCAATTCTTTTTTACTTATTTTAAAAAACAGAAATACAATTTTGAAAACAATTACATGAACTTCATCAGTCTAAACACTTAACTAGGACTTGATCTCAGTCCAGGTCATATGACAAGCCACATCTTACAAAATGTAGAAAGCAAGATACAAAGTCAGCTCCTTTCAAACACTAACTTTACTAAAGGAAGCAGAAGTTCTTACATTTGCTTCACCTATGTTATGCATTTAAATGTGTGTTACCTTTTTCCAGTTATGACTTTTAGCAATATTATTTAATTTGGATAAGTAGAAACAGAGCTGTAGTCAGGTCTTCAGGCATGAGGTCTCACAGGAACAGTTATGGTAAGATAGTAAGATATAGTAATTAAATTCAATTTTATACAATTACCTAATCAACTCTAGTGTGGCTTACTGTAGAGCATAGCATGCAATGAAAGTATACCTAGCAGATTCCAAGGGAGACTTAATGTGCTATACTGGATTCATTGCTGTGACTGTAGCTCGCGTAACCGTGTGTAAATTATCTTGAATATTACTAGCAACATAGCTGCAACAGCATGGGTTTGATGTTGTGTTCCCAGTTCTGCTTGGAAAAATTAGTAGTTACTTTAGTAGTCTAGCCTTTTCTGAACTCTGTGTGACTAGGATAACAGTGCCAGCAGTACACATGCTGTCTGCTTACTCCTCACATGCTGCCATCTTTCTGTGTCTTCAAACAGAGAAATCAGGAATAGGAGTTTATCTCATGGAGAGTTGGGTTGTTTGGTTTTTTTTTAATTTTCACTGTAGTAAGTAAACCTCTGATTTTGCAGTAATGTTACGCTAGCTTATATGGGTGAAAAACATACATTCTTCTTGCACTGCATGCAGTTGTAATTATTTACAGGGAGATGTTGGAACTACTGGTGAATGTTCTCACTTAATGCTTAACTGGAGCACTAACTTTGAATTGCAAGAAGAAAATGCTTTGGAAGTCTAACTCTAGTAATAATTGACATATAAATGTCAATGCCTCTTAAACACTGACTAAGGTACACTTCATTTGCATGCTTAATAGTAAATAAGTTTTCTTTTGTTCTTAAAAATTTCTTCCTTCCTCCTCCTCCTCCACCTCAGTTAATTTCTTAAACTTGCTGCTCTAGGTTGAGGCTACAGAGCTCAGGTGTTAGAACACCCTTATTTAAATAAGAATTGTACTGTTTCTGATGCCCTGGAGCCTTTATCTAGGCAAGGATTGACCATCGGTCTGTAGTAACTTCCTCTCAAGACTGGCAGCAATGATTCGCAAGCACCCTGTTTTATCTCAGACAAGTACTTACTGGTATTTTAAGGAGGACTGAAACATGAAGCAGTTCACAGAATTGTGAGAACTGTGAAGCCGTTTTTTCTGGGGGAGGCAAGTTTTATAAAAGAAGTTTCTTTTCAACTTACCTTTCACGAATGGAAAAGAAATTATATTTTTTAAGCACAAACCTTCATTGTAGCTTATCAGATATGATTAGCCCATTTGTATTAAGAGGTATGAATGAAAAAATGAAGTCTGTAGTGCAAAATTGTTAAATGCACCAATATATTTTTTCTGAGGCTTTAGACTAGTAACTCACTTGCATACATTTGAAGTACATATTCGTTCTGTTCTTCTTGCATCTGGCGAGATCTGTAAGAGAAATTTATCTTTGTTATAAGAAGCCTGAAGACAAGGAAGAAATGGATTTAATTAATGAAATACAAAGGTTTATTTGTGTCATGTATTAAGTTGCATAAATTGCACTTAAAATTGTTACTCTTTTAGCCACAAAATAGTTCACCTCAGTGACTTAACTCTGCTTGCAAGAAACAGAACCAAAGAAATCGACAAACAATAGCAAATAAAATTGGCAAATTTTAAGTTTAAACGTTAGGTTAGCTGTTGGACTGCCATTATAATGGCATTTGTGGGCAATGGAAACCATATGACATTCGTTCGTAGTGATATTTGAATGAAACTACACTCAAAATGCCAGTCAGCAGGTGAATAGCACCCTCTACGTGATGGACACTTAGTGAATTTTCTGTTTGCATCTTTATAAAAATGCTGTTAGCAAAGACTATTCAAATGAGTAATTTGTACTGAAGAAAACTTTGACTTGGGAATTAAAGGCTAGACCTTGATAAAACTTCAATAAATCTTGATAAACTTTAGAAATATTTGTTTACCTTTTTCCAACTTCTTCATGAACTGTAGATGCTGGAATGTTGAAAGAATTCTCAAGATGAAATTATTAGTATACTACTAGTAGTATACTCTTTTAAAATCCTGTGTGTTAAAAGACAGCTTATGCTATTAGGGAACCACAAGATAATTGCTGAAAATGCTTTTGCTTCTAATGGATTGATTTTTGTAGCAGTTCTACAACTTCTCTTTATTTTACATGTGCTTTTAACTAAAGCCTGCAAGTAGTATCACCCAAAGCAAGCAAGGGGAAAAGGGAAGATGGAAAGGACAGGCCGTGAGAACAGCTGCAGCGTCTGTATGCTGTATAGATGGTGCATGTTAATAAAGTTGAAATAATAGTCCCTGGAACATATGGTGTATTTAGTCATGGAGCTTGACTTTTCTTTTGGCTGTATTTTTTTCTTTTTAAAAAGGGGCACATAAAATGAGAACATGTAACTGCTGAGAGCATAGAAGAAAATACAAGCAAATTTTTGAGCTGCTGAACTGTTCATCAGCAGAAATACTGCAGTGCTTAAAGCCCAACAATCTATAGTAGGCAAACTGCTGTTGTATATAATCAGCATAGTAGGTTAGGAAGGTAGTGAGGATTTTTGTTACTGATATACTTCTTCATAAGTAATAATAATCTGTCACTAAGTAAAAACTAATATTTAGTATTCTGTTTACCAAAAGCACTAAGTCAGTTCTTTGGGAATTTGTAAGGTGAAGCAAGCACAGGGATTTGTGTGTCATTCATACCAAAGATTTCACACTTTCTCATTGGCATGAGAGTATGTTAAGTACAGTCACTCAAAAATATGGGTTTCAACTTGTGGCTCTTTGTATTTGGCTGAGTCGTGGTTTACCTGTGACAGCCATGATGGAGGGTTATTCCCATAGCCTTTAGTTCATGTTCTTGTGATGGATTAAAAATGACAGATGCAGACTTGAGAACATAATCAAGTGCTTCAGTTAGACCGCAACATTTGGGAGTGGGTATGTAAACGTTTGACATGTGGAAGATTAATTGCCCCAGAGAAATAAGGTGCATGACAATGTTAACACTCGGGCAAGAAAGGATTGTTACCTACATGTACACTTAAAAATTGTATCTGTAACTCTCACTGAATCTGTCCTAAAACAGTAAAATCAATTTGTTTGTAGAAAACTAAGGTGGTATTAATTTTCTCAGCAGATACCCTTTGCAAAGGAATATGAAGCTGAAATAACATTCAGTATGAAATCAGGCTACTTTGATAGTCATGGTTGTAAAGCTTTAGAGATTCCTCTGGATTTGTCGTGTAGGCACTATGCTGATAAGTACTAAAATGTTGTTAGAAAGGTGGTGAATTATATCTCTTCACACTTGTCTTCAAAAAGTTGGTGTAAAGTGTTATTTTCAGAGCAGCCTTTTAGTCTTTGAGTATTCTGAAAGTGTTTGAAAGGAATTTGTGTGGATTTTTTTTTCCACCACCACCACCTGTTCCCTTTATGTAGCTACTGGTAAATTTAGGATAATTTTCTAAGTCTTGCTAGGGTATTTTGTAATGGTTTCTCACTCCAGGTTTGCTGTAATTTTATAAGCCACTTTAAAACGTATCTTGCGGTATGTCATTACCTCAGTTTATTACACAGGGACCGCCCCAAACTGGCCAAAAGCTGAAGTGTATGCTGTTGACTTAAGTCCAGCAAAAACTTTCCAGTAAATATAAATGAGTTGAAAATCACTGTAGACAGGTAGCGATTCAAATGGATTGCTGATACTCATAGAAACAAAAGGACTGTTAAATGATCAGTCACTGCCATATTACTTGACTGTTTCTTAAATGAGCATATTCTTGATTAAACATTGCATGCAAATATATATATTTATGAATTTATATCAGGTTAAAAAAAAATCTATAACTGAAAACTATCCCCACATAACTAATTAAATGTGAATGTCTGCAAGATTAGTCCTCTGCAGTTTACATACTGCAGGTTATTTTCATGCCTAAACTGGCACTAATGTTTAAAAATAACTGTACCAGGATTGCCAGAATGTATGAGGTTTGAGTTGTTTGTTGCAATGCTTTAAATTTTGGAAATAGTTACAAGTACAACTATTTTTTTCCTTTTAATGCTGCTATTTTTCAAAAGCAGTCTTCTGCTAAGGAAATTAAATTAAAATGTTTTGTTGCTGCTTATGTTTATAAGTAGAACTTGGTTTTCGATGCATTTGAGAAGTATTTGGTTTTTATATGGCTAACAAACTATCCTGAGTTCTTGTTTTTGCAAGCATCTCTTATTTGGCACAAATGAGGCTAGTGCAACTGCTCTGAAGAGGTGATTATACAATAATAAATAACGTGTTCTACTATCATGAAAATGTTAGTCGGGTAAAAACCAAGAGGTAGCAGCTTTTTATATTGCCTATTGCAATGTGATGATACCTTTATAAAGTTTATTGTAACTTTACCTAAAGGTTAAAAGTATACATTCTCTCCAAGTTTCTGAAATTTGATGATATTTTAGCCTATAGTTTCTAGGCTACAAAAAAATAGCATGTGCATATAACCAGTTGCATTTGTTTTGCTAATTCTAATCTCTTTTTTCTACATGGATAGCCTTATTCTGCTGATTTCCCCTTTCCCAATCTCATTTTAGCAATATGATGAGCAAGAAAGAAAAAGCAAAACAAGAAAAGTTTCATAGATTAATCCTAGCATATGTTCACAATGGGATGCTTCAGTTGCTGCTGATGGTGTTAAAACTGATTTTTTTTTTCAGTTGCCCTGTGTTCATTATGTGTATTAAGATAATTAAGACAATGGTAAGGGAATTGATGCAAATGAACTTAGTTCTTGCTTTGCTAGTGAATGTTAGTCAGGTATAGCATAGGACTGGAGTACTTGATTTAAATCACCAAAGAATATGTGACATATTAACTCTGGTTGCAATTAGGTCTTAATCTGTTGTTGTAGAATGTTTTATTGCTCCAGTTATGTGCATTTTAATGGGAATAAAAGGTATACCAGAGGCATCAGTAATAGAGCTTTTAAAGGCCATGTAAGATACTTTTGCTTGAAATAGTTTGTCTTGTTTTGCATTTTTTCCATTCCATGATTACTCCTTCACAAATATGACTGTGACGGTCTGAAGTAGCTTTTCTTCTGAGTGCATGTGTTTATTTGAATAGTTGCTTAAAATAACAAAAGATGATGAAATCTGTTAATTGTAGAATATAAGATAAATATAAAATATAATCTGTTAATCTGTAAATGATTCTGTGATTCTAATTGCTGCTCATTTTCTCTAGCATTTTAGAAATGTTTTGGATTAAATAATGTTTGGGTTTTTTATTATATTATTGTGCAAATTACTTCAAAACACCCTCTTAGAACTTGTTCATAACATAGGCTGTAAACTGCTGCTTCATCAGCCTGTCACTTCCTGGTGATCTGCCTAGAAGGGACAAGCAGCTACTTGTGAATTGAATTCAACTGTGTGTGGGACAGTGTAAGTTGAAAATTTGCTATGTTAAAGGAGTCAGAAGCCTTGAAATTTGACTGCTTTCACAATTAATAGTCTTTAAAAAAAAAAAAAAGAAAAAAAAAGGCCAGAAGTTTAAAAACAAACAAAAAACCTCCACCAAAACACCACCAAAAAACTGCAAGGTATAAAATTACATTTAAGTGATGGAAAATAAATTTAACTGTCTGTAATGTGGTGAAAGCAATTCGGAATTGTATTATATTTCCTAGTATTTTTATCTACTAAGTCTGGTGATGGTTGTGCATGTCTTGGCTGCAAGTAATTGGTGACTATAGGAAAAAGTAAAAATTTAATAGTTAAAAGTTCATCAATTCTAATTTTTTTTTCTCTGCAGTTTAGTTAAATGTATAAGAAATATTTCTTATGGATTAAAAAGCAAAAAACCTACCTCACAGACATAAAGAACGTAAATGGGTCTATTGTGGGTTTTTCCCTTAATTGATCTTTAGCATTTGAGCTGCTGTTTTACTCTTGTGGTTTTGGGGACTTGCTGGCTCAGCCTCAAGAGTGGTTTTAGACAGGTTTTGAGACGTGCTGCTCTTATATTCTACAAATGCAATCTTAGGCAGTGAGGTCATTGGGTGAAGAAACTCCTCTCTAAGAGCGCTAAAAAATAAAGGAGAATACTGTAAGGTATGAGATTCATTTATTTTTTTCTTTAAGAAGGTAGCAGATGGAGGAGAGGGACAGAAGGGGCAGAGGATAAATCTTTTTACACCAAGGAGATGGGGTTTATGATCTTCCATGACCATAAAATAACTATACTGTAATTGTACTGTAGTTCTGTGTCACACTAAGATTGGATGTAACGTCATGGTACAAACCTCAGAACGTATCCCGAGAACACAGTGTCAGTTGTTCAGTCTGTTACTTGACTCTGTAACCCAACTGAACCTTTTCAGGGTTGCGTGCCGCAGGTTTAGGGTACTGCACAAAATGGCTGCATGTGTTTTTGTCATTGAGAGTGTAAGTGCTTCAGGACATATCTAGGCAATCATCTTGTGGCATCTTTGATGGTTACTTTTGTTTCTACTCACTGTGCTTAATTTCAGAATTCATGGCTGTCGTGGCGGGGGAAAGAATACTTTTGTGTGGTTCCAGTTTTTATGATTGATATTTAGTTCTGATGGCTGTGAATTAATTTTGTATTCATCTGCCCAGTAGCAAATGTTGCTTTTTTAGTTGAGCTGAAATCTTTTGGCTGCATATTTTGATGTTGCTCAGACATATTATTTGAATGGATACTGAAGGAAATGAAGCTTTTAAAATCACATAACATCACCATTCCTTCCTGATATAACACATTTGAACACAATGGCCATTTTTACCACATTTTTGTGCAAAATCAACGCACTTTGACATAGCTGCAGCCGTTCTGACAATTTTGTGAGGAGAAGGAAGCTGTTCATGGCCCTTATTCAGGCACTGTACACATGCTGCAGCAAGGGAGGCTTTCCTATCAGGGGAACAAAAGGAAGATTCATGGTGAGAGGTCAGACATTGTAACAGGTTCCACAGGGAGATGATGCGTCTCCATCCTTGAAAGCAAGTTTGCAAGGGAGTGGTTTTGGCAAGTAATTGGAGCTTTTGGTTTGGTTTTGTCCTCTGATAGAATGATGAAAACGTGTCACTCCAGGACATCCCACTCTCAGTTCCATCAAGTCCAGAACCTCAAGAACCCGAGTCAACTTTTAAGGTAAATGACACTGATTTACTCTACAGAATAAGAGATACAGAACTGTTCGTGTTTAAAAAATACAACCCCAAAACTTCTGTGTCACTATGAAGTCGTGCTGCTTGCTTCTTTCTGCTATTGAAATGCAAACCTAGCAAATGTTTATATACTTCATCTTTTCAGTTTTGTTAAAATAGAAGAGTTTATTTGACCTTTTAAAATACATACTTATAAATGCTAGCACAGTTTAAATAATTAAAATAACTTTGCCTTTTGGTATTTGTAGCAGTCATGGGAATTCACAGCTGTAGAGTTACTTTTTTCAAAAGATTTTCTGCCTGCTTGATAAGCATTAGAATTTGAAAAGACAGGTTTTGTTTTGAAGTGTAATCATACTATACTTAATCACTCGCTGTCTTATTACATTTATTGTTGACTTCAATTTAAAATATCTTTCATCTAAAGTAAGTTTTCCCTGAGATAATGGAGGTATTGCAGATGTAACTTAAAAACAACGTGAACCTCACAAAGTCAAAGATGAGTTTATTGTTTTAGAGTGAGTACTAAAGGAAGAAGCAATTGCAATGGATATTCCAAAAAAGGATCATCTTTTATGGTCACAGACTTGTAATGTTGTGCTTTCTACACTGGTAAGGTTTTATAGCATTGCTTGGCTCTTATTGTAAAATCAGTATGGAAAGATCGCTAATCCTGCACTGACGGGAGGGGAACAATGCTTGCTTGAAGATACAATGAAATTAGAAATACTTCTTGAAAGGGAAGAACACTTAACGATCTTATTTCTGTTTGAAGGTTGTCTGTCTAAATCCTGGTTTCAGGGTTTAAGAGGTTTGCCAAAGCTGTAGAACCATATGCATCACCCTTTAGCAACCCTAGTTTCTACATTGTTAACATTTAGGCCTTCTTTTCTCTTTAAATGTTGTCTGATGTATTTGTTGTGCTTGTCCAACAGTCACCTCCCTCAAAATCGTAGAATCTTAGTCTTAATTCCTAGGGGAAAAAGTATTGCTTTTTAACTTACTAACAAAAAAATGCTAGGTTTAACTGACATCTTGAATTGTCACTTCTTGAATTGATGCTGGCATATGGTTTGAAAAATTGCACAACAAATCAGTCTGAGTGTTGTCCTAAAGCAGTAACTATTAACATCCTCAGTGAAACTGAAGTAGTAGATGTATGCTACTAAAGGGAAGTATGCCCCTTAATTTATAGCCTAGCTATAATGGCACAGTTATAAAATACATTAAAATTACCTTGTGATGAAAAATTATCTTTAAAAAATTCACTCTTGCATATTTACCAATTTTTTTTTAGTCTCTGAGCTTTGCATAATTATTTTAGGCCTTTAGTTTTTAGTAAGATGTATTCAAATCAGTTGTGCTGTTTGCATTCAGTAAATGTAGTTATGCTTATGTTTCTAAATTATTTTTTCCTGTTTCTAGCATTCTATGTTAATGCTTTTTAAACAGCAGTTCAGTTAACCTTTAAGCTTCAGTATTTTTTGTTGTTGGATAAAGAGGAATATTGGTAGTGTTTGATGGCTAGGCATGTTCATCTACATCAGTTGCTTGTACAACAGGTGAATTACTGCATCAAAAATGCAGCTGATTACTTACCCTGAAAATCTAGTGGGTCAGCTCAACTCAGTGTCTTAAAGAGACTTCTAGTCCAGTTTCTTCTCTCTTTAGGTTGTATGCCTACAGCCCGTCTCAGTGCGTGAATAAGAGGAGGAAAGCATGCTCTAATGTTACTGCCAGTCCTCCATGAACATCTGATGTAATATGGCCTGTAGAGGTGTTGATTTAAGTTGTGTCGTCCTTATAGAAAACCTTGTATTGCCCACTGTTCTTTTGCAGATGGATGATCTGCTGAATGAGATCAGGCAGCTTAAAGATGAACTGAAGAAAAAGAATGAAACAATCAACCAATTAGAGCATCAACTTGTAAGTATAATGCTAAATGTTTAACAAAATCCCAAGTGTGCACTGCAGAGTGTAACTTCAGTAGGTAATTCTTATGAAAGCTTTGAGGGCTAGATGTCTAATTCTCCTCCCCCCCCCCCTTTTCATTATAACAATGGTAGATTTGGGTTCTGTTTAGACCCACCTGACTCATGGGTCTGTAAAAGTTCAGTTAGCAGACCGATTCTACATGTTCTAGTGTGTTTGCAGCTGTACGCTTGGGATCTGTAATTCTGTAGACCAGCCATGATTTGTATGTGTGGCACTAAGCAAGGATGTTTATACGATTGTTAACTATATTTCATTTCCAAAACAAACACTTTGAACATAAAATTCTAGAAGCTGTTCAGAAATAACAATGAACAAAGATAAGGCACTTTAAGCATAAAGTATTTTAAAAATTAACAAGTATTGGGCTTACCATTCTGCTTGAAGGTTTTTTTGTTGTTTTTTTCTCCCTTTCCTTTCCCTTACTGTCCATTAGTTTAATAAAGAATTCCACTATAGAATTTAAAGCTGAGCAAGGTAGTATTCAAAGTTTATTCTTTTTTTTAAAAAAACAAATCAAAACAAAGCAAGCTGAATAGTGAGATTAAATTGGCCAAATAAATAAAACTTATGGGAACACTTTCATCATAAGTCAGCTTCAGGCAGACACATAAGTCCTCAAGCAAAAGTAACGTATGCCTTTTTGCTTTTTGCTCATGTTCTAAGTTAACTTTGGATTTTGCCGTGCATATGTCTGCTTTGGTTCTGGTAAACTCACCTGGTGTGACAATTCTTATAAAATAGCCCCATGTTTTCAAGCCATTTCAAGCCGCAGCAAGATCTTAAAGGTAGGGTAAATGAGATGCCAAGAGGTGCACACCATACTTATTTATCGTGGCTGGAGACAGTCTTGTGTGACTATAATATCTAATGAAATGTTTAGCATGTGCTTTTGTACATATGTGCACTGAAACTAACCTGTGGTCTTCATCCTCTTCCTGTCTAGCATGTGATCATTCCCTTGAAAACAAAAATGGAAGGTTAAGATTTGGCTTTCTGCTCTGCTTCTTAAAAAACAGAATTCCAGATCATAGCATAATAAAAGAAACTGTCTTGTCTATTAGTATTTTGCAATAAGTGTTGACTTTTCAGTACACTGTCTCTCTCTTACCATCAGCCTTCACAGATTTCTTGAAGGAAATCTTTCCTTCCCTGCTAGGTCGTATACCTTATTACTGTAGTAACTGAAAACTTTGTTGCAGCTAAGGAGCTCTGCCGTAAAGATGGGTAAAACATATATTTCTAATTGTTGAAAGGTGACTTAAAGAATGTGGTGCTTCAGAAATTTAAGTGAATCAAAACCCCTTTCCAAAAGTCAACGTTTATTCTAGATTATTTCTAAGTATACTCTGGGAAAAGAAGTGGTTGTGCAGCACTGTAAATACTAGTTTCCACAATTTAATAGTATTGTGCTATACGGCCAAGTAATGCATGATGTTTGAATGCTGGGCCTTGACTGTCCTTTTCAAGAGGCTTAGTTAGTTATTTTCTAACAAATTCTCCTTTCTTTTTCTCTTTTTGGGGGTGATTAAGGCCACTAGATGTAACTGCCAGAAAGACAGTCAAAAACCTACAGGGGCAACGTGCATGTATGCTGATAAATTTACACAAACCTCCTGGAGGAGGAGTTCTGTGAGTAAAATGTGCCATTCCTTCTTGGTTATGACTTTCTGCATTTCATTCCCCAGTTTTATTACTTTTGCTGTCACATGAGTTGGCCTTGTTTAAGAGATCCTGTGCTGTATATAGTGGTATCCTTCCTGCTGTGCATCCCTTGCATTCTTTTGCAACCCTTTTATTTAAACATTTATTACAAACTTTTCTTTTAAAATAAGTAATTGAACTTTAGAAGTCTTCTCTTAAAGTAATCACCCTTTGCACTATTTAAGTTACAGTCAATCCAAGATGTATACCTAACCATACATAAGATATTTTCCTTTATCCTGACTCTAAAGTCATAGGTATCTGTATTTGGTTTTCTTCCTGGTTAAAGTTTCATTGTTGATGTCCTCACATTTGTTGAGGAAAAGCAACAGTATATCCTAAGTCTCAGTCCATAAGTGTAAAACCAGAAGTTTATCTTTTTTATAAATTTTTTTTTTTAATTTTTATCATTTCGAATGAGTCAAGTTATTCAAATAAAAATTATTGGGTGAAAATCACTTTGACAAAGGAAATCTTCATTCCCATGTGTTGTGGTATGGATCAAATTTGCTTCCAATATATAAAACTTACATTCTTCATAGAACACTGACAGAATATTTAGGATGGAGGAGGGACAACACATTTGATATTATATAATAATAAGGAATTACCTTTGATAAATAAGGCTTTTGTCAGTCACCAGCAAATAGTCTTTGGATCTTGAAGCTACTGCTCTAGCTAGAGAACCCAAAGAGATTTCTTTAAAAGGTTAAAAATGGGTTAGAATTTTTCTTTCTTTGTTTTCACCCTGCCTTGAGTTACTTGATGGAAGATTGTAGTAAAGATAAATCACCCCAGCTATCCTAAAATTACTGTTTTAAATATATGGTGCTAGGATAGACATACCACCATGCTGTATGTTCACCAGTTGCTAGCAAATAGCTTTATCCTGCTGAGATCATGCTTTCCAACCATGTTCTGTCTGATAAGGACTCAATGTAAGATCATAACCTTAAGTAGCTTTTAGTTTGCTCTGATACTTCTGTTCCAGAATGTACGTGTAATGTCTTTGTTTATCCCATTTGCTTCTCTTTTCCGGTTACTTTGGAGCTCTTGTATTCTTTCTTTTTCCCAAGTTTTAATTTCGTATGTGATGTTCACTTGGTGTTTTTCTGCATTGATACTATTGCTAGGTTAGTGGCTGTTGTTGTTTCCATGTTCCTTTTTTTCCTATCTCATTTTCCGCATAAACTCAGAAACAGATTAGTAACCATTGAAAGTTAGTTGCTAACTACAGAAGCTTTAGTTTGAGCAACCTGTGGTATTAATTGATAAGACAAAGATATTGGAGAAGATGGGCAATGTGAGTTGATAACTTAGGTAAACAGAGTCATTTAGCCCAATTGTCTGTTTTGGTTAGGTTGGTCGGTATGTTTCTTTTAAGTTATTCACTAGTTTTGTTCAAAAAGTCACTTTATTGTCATGAGGAAGTTCAGGTTAAGGGAGAGTATCTTTTAAAAAGAAAAAAAAAAAAGATGATCTCTCCAGATCTCTGCTGTATTCATGGTCGGGTGTGTGTATGTGTGTGGATATATGTATACATATACATACATGATACACATATATATGTGTGTAGGCATATAAACATTAGATGCGCATTATAAACATCTCTGTTTTTATCTACATGTGAAGTTTCTCATGAAAATTGATAAAGGAATTAGGAAAATTCATGAAGTATTGTCAAATTTTCAAAATATACTGCTTTTTCAGGAGCTTTTATTTGTAAATGATAGCTGAAAAGTTTTGGGCAGAATGTGTGAGGGTTTTTTTTAATGTCTTGTCATTTGCATATTTGTAAGTTATAGGCTTTCTGTAGACAAACATAAATTGATAGGAGCTCCTTAATGTGGGTTTTCTTAAAGGAAGGTGATAGTCTTGGTGTTGTAGCCAAGTTTCAGTTCTAATGATAAGACCTCAACTTTCTGGTTTAATAGTTCCTCTGCTTACATGCATTTGTATGCTTCCTTGCATGACTTAATAGAAGTATAAACGTAGGAAAAAACCTTGGCATGAAATCATTGTTGAACTGGAACCCAAGGACATAAAATGTTGATTGCAATAGAAAAGAAAGACAGTTGGCTCTGTTTTCTTGAGGTAGGAGTACAATAAATGGAAACCACAGGAGACACCTGAGTAAAATATATTCTTACTAAAAAAAAAAATAGTCTTAAGGAAAATAATTGTTTTGCTCTGTTAACATTCCTGTTCAATTTAATGTAATGGTCTTGAACTGAGAGTGCAGGCTGGGAGAAATCAGGTTTATTGGTCCTAAATGTGGTATGAATCATGAAATGTAGTTAATGTTTATGAAATTATGAAGTTTTATATAGACTATATTTTTTAAAAACCAAATTATAGTTGAAGTCTTGGCAATGAGAGAATAGCTCCTTTGAGGCATATAAGCTTTTTGTTTCTTTAAGCTTGGTAATAGTTATCAAAGTTGATGAATATTTAACTATGTAATTTTTTCCATAAGTGTTGACCTGCCAGTCACTTTAAATAATGGTGAATATCAGGAAGTTACTGTAGTTTGGTTATCGTAACTTTCAAGATTATTCTGACAGTTTACAAATTCTAGCAGAACTGATACTATGTGTTGATTCCTGAAGTGTAAATAATAGTATGGGAATGCACAGTAATTTACTGTTTCAAGAAATACTTCAAATGCTTCCAGAAACGTGCTTAACAAACATTGTTAATGCAGTGTTTCATAAAGAATAGATGCTAGAATTAACTAGGAAACAGTGAGAATGGAAATCAGCTATTAAAAGATTTCAGTTAGGAATTTAAGACCATATGAATTGCAGCAATTTATTGTGGTTCTACTGTCCATTTGAAATAGCTAGTATTTCTGATTACTTCATGGTTCTCCCAGTAAGTAGACAACTGAATATCATTACACATACTCTTTTTAAAAATTCATGTTCTTATCTGTTTCTTTCTTTCATTATTACCAGATATTTCTAGAAAATGGCCTAGCCTCAAGTGATTATAAACTTGTCTGGTGTAACTCTCTTTAGGGACCGCAGTTTTTGAAAATACTTTCAGGGTGTTTTTCCTACTTAAAGGTAAATATATACATAAATGGAAGCTATGTAACTTTTAGGTTAATCCTTGGAACTTAATACTCATGTAATGAAAGCTAGTGGCTGAAAATAAATGTTTTGAAAATTGGGCATGTTAAGATTTAATAGGTGTCTTGCTACTGTGTCTGTTACATATTTCTTGTAAGTAGTGTTCTAACAGTATGTTCAAAACTTTAAGTAATTTCTGACTGTTCATATAAACAGTGATAACTTAGAGGGAAACATTATTTTTGGTTAGCCATCCTCAGGATAAAGGCTTGTACAAGTATTCACTGACAGGGTAGACCATGACGTTTCTAGAAGTATTTCTTATAGATCTCTTATACAGAATTCAGTTCCAGTTAATTTATATCTATCATGTAATTATCATGGAAGAAAAAACCAAAACCTGGGAGAAGATATTGAACATAAAATTACCTGAAGAAATTAATGTTGATGGACACAGCTTACAAAGAGGAAAAACATGAGCATCCATTGCCGCAATTGTCTTGCAGGCTTTGTAGCATTGTTTCTGTAATACTAAATATTTTTATTATTTGTAAGATTTTGAGGGTAGAGGGGTTAAATGTCAAGTTTATGTTGACAAATTATTTGGCTTCTTGAACTGGAAAGGATGTTTGCACATGCTGAGAAGTAGAAGACAAGCAAGCAAACTACAAAATCCTGAATTTGAAGATGTTTGTAAAAGATTCTGACCCCTGAGGTCCAGTTCCTTAGCATAACACAATTCCTCCTAGTTCTTGATGCCCTGCAACAGTAGATAGCGTACAGTAAAAGCTGATTTTTCTCCTTGGTATCAGAGCAGTACACAGTGATGAGAATAAGCTTTGCATCCTAAATGTGTATACAAGTTCATTCTTGTCTCTGGTAAAATGACGCCAAAAAAACCCATTTTGCATGGGAGCATGCATATTCTTGTTCTTTGCTACATCTCTTCTCTACTTCTGCACTGAGATAATCTTTGCCTTCCATTTGAGTATTGTTTCAGTTTGTCATTCCAAAGCCTTTCACATAAATTGTTTTGATGAACCTTTGTAATACTTTGGCTGTCTTTGTGTACAGTTCTTTTCTTTTTTTTTTTTAAATCTCCTTCCGTCTTAGCCTTAAACTTCCTATATGCTTTGCTTCTGCAACTATGAATTTAAACTTCCAGGGTTTGAAGCCTAGTCACTGTATTAGTGTTATCTTCGCATTCAGCTTAGGTTTTTCTCGTTGTCCACTACTCTGCTGTTTCCTTGCTGATCTGTTACAGCATACATTCTTGGTGAGACAGACTGTAGCTGGACTAGATAGTTGTGTTGTGCATCTGTTTCTTGCACTGTTACAGTGACGGTGAATAATACCTAGGTGGATATGCAGAAGAGAGGTCCTTTAAACCTTTCACATGCAATTCTTGTTGCTTTACTGTAAACCAGCACATGAGATATTTTTTTTTTTGACCTGAATACTTTCAAAAAGACTATTGCATGTCAGAACAGCTCGGTCATAATCTCTTTCTGGGTGCTAGGCTAGCAAGAGAAGACTGCTGCAACAAGGTTTTGTTTGCATTGATGCTTGAAGTATGTCATTCTAGGTTTGTTCATGATGTGGAGCTCTGAATTTGTGTGAGACAACTGGCAATGCTAGGTGAGACACAGGAAAAATCATCTCTTCTTGGAAGTGCTCAAAGGCTCCAGTTTTATGGATAAAAATGGATCTTTTCTGTATTTGTGTTTCTGCAGCAGAAAAGACTTTTTAAAGCAGTAGCAGTTTTGGATATTGGTGTATCCTTGGGAAAAGAGCCAGAATATTTGGCTGTTGGCCTAAAATTACTGTGCAGCAATACCTTAGAAATATTTCTCT